CCCCCCCCCTTGGCCTCAAGTCTGTTTCCTTTTGTCTACCTTCTTGTATCTCTTCTTGTTGGTCATTGTGTCCACCTATCTGGGCTGCTGTGTCCGCCTCTCCCTTGCCAATCCTTTACGCACTACAATTCTCTCCCAGCTCTGGCCTGCTATGTCTACCTCTCGCTTGCAATCCTTTAATCCTTTACATTTGTTTTCAGCTCTGGGTCGCTGTGTCCGCCTCTGTCATGCAATCCTTGAATTCCATGTGTCTCCCAGCGCTGACTGCTGTGTCCGCCACTGCCTTGCAATCCTTTGTTTGTCTCCCAGCTCTCAGCTGCATGTCGCTTGCATTCCTTTACATTTGTCTCCCTGTGTCTACATGTGTCTCCCAGCTCTGGACTGCTGTGTCTGCCTCTGCCTTGCAATCCTTTGTCTCCCAGCCCTGGACGTCACAAACTCTAGTTGCAGTGTTCCGATTTTGAAAAAACGCAGTGTTTGGGGCCTACGGTGGTGTAATTGCTTCTTGTGCATCAACGCGGCCTGCAGTTGGCCCCTTTCCACGTGAAGAGAGGCTACCGCGAACGGGCTGATGAACTGACGCATCCTAATCCTCAAGGACTCAACCCAGCAAAATGACTGGTTGTTTCCTCTGACCTTCAATTGTTCTCATTCCTGAGTGAATCTCCGATCTCTCCCAAGAAGCGACAAATGGTGAAATGATAGATTTTCCCAAGTCACCCACGGTCCTTTATGAAAAAGAGTCCGGTGACCGCGGATGCAGTTTGACAGGCGGTGGGTGGGCCTTTGTGATGACCCTTGGCTGGTCTGCTCCTGGCGACCATGCCAGGGTGGCCGTGATTGAGGTGACCCACCTGCCTGCCTTGGATGAAATGAAGATCCACATGCCAGGGAACCCGTTCAGTCGGAAGAGACGTGCAGCAACCGCACCAGGCACCCCCCCATCTGCTAGCAAAAGAGGCATGCCTACTGCTGCAGAGTGAGGGTTGGTAAGCGAACCAGTTTCAAGTCTATTCGAGATTTTTTTTTTGCTGGGTTATTTGACTTTTGTTTGTTATTCTTGTGGGCCCTACCCAACAAATTTTGGGTAGAGCAGCAGCTGCACTTCCAAAAGGTCCGGGCATTCTTTCCCTACATGTTTGCTCCAACTTATTTGTGTGTGTGCGCGCACATGGGTTTTTGAACATGTGTATGCACAAAGCCGCCAGGCAATAACTAGTCCGTAATGCTTCCACATGTGGCGCACATGTTCTCCACTGACAACAACGCTGTCAACAAACCAATGTTTGTCATCCGAAGCATCACGTCGAAGGCTTATCTCGATGTTCCTTCCGGACCAGGCCGTGGCAGCCAATCTAATGTTGTCACGTGCTTCAAAACTCCTGGTCAGAATCCCGGCAAACGTGTGCAACAGCTAGTTAGCAAGCATTTGCAGGTGGACGACTTTAGAACAGGAGAATATCGGGTCAATGGTAGCACCGACGCAGGGTGGCTTGGCAGAATGAGCGGTAAATTGGGATTGCCTTGCATTTCTCCGACTCACCCATTCTGAAGGAAATATGTGAAGCAGCTGGCCGTGTGGCTGGTGATTGTGAGCTCAATGCAGCGCAGCTTAATATTGTCCTTGACAGTTCTTTGTGGTTGCCTGTTTGTTGACAGGAAGGTCCTCATGGTAGTGTTCATGGCGGTGGGCCACTCAACCCTGCTGGCTTTGGCTCAGATTGCCTTGGCACCGTTTCTTTGTGTGCAAGAAGGGTCCAAAAATTGTTGGTTTTGTTTTATAAGGGGGGGCAGATCGAGCAACGGCTTTCAAGGTTGACAAATTGTCATCCAAGGTTTGGAGGTAGCCCAAACCTGAAGTTGCTGGTTGCAATGATTGCCACACCCTTCTGCATGAATGCCTTGCAGTTTTGGGTTACAGACAACTTCATCAAGAAGCAAGGCGGAACGCTGATATCATGGAATCATTTCAGGCATTTGTGCTTTTCCTTCACCCCGACAAATCCGAGCCATTCGGGTTCTTATTTCAAGCATAGGAAGAGGTGCGTGTGTGCGCTTTGGGGGACTGGGTGCTTGCGCTGCTTCAGGGTGCCGGTGCAGAGTGCCGCTCCAGGGTGCCTGCCAGATGTCTATGGACGTGTGCGCTTTGGAGCTTGGGTGCTGGCGCTGCTGCAGGGTGTGGCTGCAGGATGCCGGTGCCAGATATGTATGGCTGTGTTGGCTTTGGAGGGTGGATGCCGGTGCCGCTGCAGGGTACCGCTGCCAAATAACGTCTACGTCGCATGAATCATATAAACAAAGTGCTTGGTGCTGCCCACAAGTATGTTGTGCTATCTGGGGTCTATGATGCCGTAATTTGGCGCAAGCAGTCAGCAAATCAGCACATGTCTCTGAACGCAGTGCATTTTGCAGGCGGGATGACTGAGGAAGAAGACGACGAGCCTTGGTTGCAGGTGCTCTTTCTCTGGTGTAGGCGGGGCATTGAGATCAGGCAGCAGGACATTGCACATCACACTTGCGGAGTGACAACGGTTCAGGCTGTTGCAAGTTCTGGCACTTATGGTCCTCTCACCACTCAGGATATAGAATTGGACGAGCGAGGTGGCCGGACAAAGATTGACCATGGCGATTTGTGACTTTGGTCCCCGCTTCTGCGAAGCGAATGCGGGACTTCACCACTTCACTCTCATGTGCGAATGCGCGCGTGAGTTGCATTTGGTCGGGCGAGCCTGCCATTGTTTACAGGGGTTTCACTTGAGCTCGCCACCAGTCAGGATGCAAGTTTCAGCTTCGAAAAGGTGCCGTACAGCACTTGTGAATTATCTCATCTATTTAGGGCTTCGATTGGCCTTGAGGCTTGTGGCTTGCCAATCTCTTTGATGATGCAGGTGGTCTCGAACGGGAGATGATCCTCTTCGACCTGGTCGGTGAAGCATGCGAAGCGCAATTAGTCAACGGTTGGTGCCATAGGTACTGGAAAGATGAGAAGCAGCTGGATGAATGACACAGTTTCATTCAGTGTATGCAAATTATGCGAATTGCTGCTGTAGATCATGCTTGGTTCCATGACATTCGGCTGGTTCCTATTCTCGACCATGGCATTTCAAACCGAGCTTTGCCTCTCCTCAAGAAGAGGTGATGCAGAGATCCATTTTCTAACAAAATTGGGGACTCTGTGCCATGTGCCGGGGAGCTGGCACATCCAGAGGAGCATAGGAGCATTCTAAAGACCAGTGACTAGTGGTGACTTTCGCTGCGATGTTTGGCTCGCTCGAGGGTAGAAGCTCTCCCATTGTCCTTTGACACCATTCAAGTCAGTCCTTGTGTCATTTCTTGTGTTCATTATATAATTGAAAGCTCCAGCTACCTGTTCTTTAACAGCATTTGCCTGACTGATACCTTACAACCTACGCCATGTTGGAGCCTCTCAGGCAAGGAGCCAATAAATCAAGCGTTGCTTGCATGTAACTGGGGCTTTGAGCTTGTTTCAGACTTGAGGTTTGTTGGCGTGGCAATCGGAGTCAGATCCTTGATTGAGTTGGCGACTTCCCAGCTACAGTTGGCCACTTCCAATCATGCGGTACGCATATGCTTGTCAATATAAGTCCACCTTTCCAAGGCCATGGTGGTTTTTCGTTTTGCAAGCGAGCTTGGCTTGATAGGACAGGCACTAACACACACAAGCAGAGATAGGTCGAGAGTTCAGCTTGAGCTGCTGCAACGTTTCAGGAGCCGAGGTTGAGAAGGACGGGGCTGTATCAGACAACCAGTGAAAAGGTGTATATATATATATATAGTATATAGTATATATAGTTTTCTTGCACAGTCCACGCAGACGTCCTTAGCACTTTTTTGTTTGATTGCTAAAGACCCTCTGCTAGCAGCAACAACTTTGGGTCTTCGGCATTCCGCAGGGAGGGAGGCAAGTGGATGGCAAAGTGACACACTTAGCCCTATATGACCAGCTGGTGAGTGATGCCAAGCCTCTGGGAGCTGCCAGACCGACGCAGGCAGGCTTGGAGCCAAGCCAGCAAAACCACACAGTCACCAATTTGGAAAAGCTTGGAGCGAAGCTCAGGTAGTTCTTGAACGACCATTTTCAAGGCATGTTTTCAGAACTGTTTTTTCTAAGCTGTCTTGAGGCAAAAATCAGGTGCATATTCAGCTTGGTTCCCGGACGGCTTGGGATTTGAGAGGGAGATAGAACAAGCCAGCTGAGGTATTGCACCAGCTGATCCTACAAGGGCACCTACCAACAGGTGTCCTCAATTCTGAAGGATGGGCTCAGCCACCATTCACCAGCGGCCAACCATATACATTCTGAAGGTAACAAACCGGCACTAGAAAGCCTCCAAGCTCACAATTCCTGTCATGCCTCTTGCATCATGATGTACCATGATGTCAGGATTGAAGGCTTGCACAGAGGTCTCAGCAGTCTGTGAGCGATGGCTCGCCAAGTCACACAATTTACACTTGCAGGCCGAGCGATCATGAAATTCAACAATCCAACGGATAGTGGCCTCATCCAATCTCTCATCAATAAGTTTGGCACTCAATAGCTCCATTGAACCATCCACATGCACTTGTAACCTTGCTTCACCTTGGATGGGCCCATACACTTCAATGCGCACCAGCTTCTCGGAGTTGCCATGGCGGAGAGCAACTTGGCATTTTTGGAGAACGAAGAGAAGCTCAGGTCACCCGTGGGAGAGGCGCATGCGGCGCATCCGTTGGTTTTGGTTTTAGGAGGCTCCACATTTATGGGCAGGGAGACGGTGGAGGCATTCTTGCAGATGCCTGCTCGCGTTTGTGTTGTGAATCGGGGACGGTCCTACTGGGGCACTCGCGACCCAAGCGGCGGACGGGTAGCAAGAGTAACTGCAGACCGTAGGGACAAGAGCGAGTTCTCGCAGAGGATTGATACTGTAACGGCCCGGCAAATCGAGTCATGGTCACTGGTGGCGGACTTCTCTGCATACGATGGGGATGACATCACTGCAGCTCTTCAAGGCTTACGTGGACGCTTCCATACATATGCATACATCTCATCTGACTCAGTCTATGAGGTCAGTGCACTGGCAGGAGCAGGCTGGGCATCTTCCTCCGCATCCACACACGTCTCCGAGAGTTGCTCCCAAAGGCCGGCAGATGCAGCGACAAAAAGCAGGCTTCGCAAGGCAGATAGCTATGGCCATGGTAAATTGGAAGCTGAAGAGGTTCTTGCTGCGGGCGTGCAGAACGATCAGAAAGCTGGTGCTCACGCTAGGGCAATTGCATTACGTCTTCCAGATGTTCTGGGCCCCTACGATGATACATTTCGTTTATGGGCCTACTGGCACTGGTGGAGAGCGGGGGACGAGAACCGGCCTCAGGTTCAAAAGTCCCTCAAGCGACCAAGCCCTGACTCGACAGAGGTTGACTCAGGTCCACCACTGGCCTTTGTTTTCAGCCGTGATGTTGCCCGCTTTTTAGTACATTTGACCAGGCTTCCTGTAAGGAATGAGGCCGCCTTTGATGCAGTGAACTTGGGCTGTGATCTTCAGCTTCCGCTGAAAGGTTTTCTCGAACTTTTGGCCAAGGTCTCAGGGATGCCTGGTGCAAGTCCAATTGCCGTCGATCGCCCAAAAAGCTTTCTACCAAGCGTAGATCGTCCACTGCACTTGGACTTTCGCAAGCTCAAGGAGCAGTACACCTTCATGTGCACTCCTTTGGAGGAGGTGCTGAAAGTCTGTGCTGACTGGTTTGCAGAGGCATGCGGGAGCTTTCCACAGGAGGCAGCCGAAGCTGCCATGAAATTACCTCAAAGTGCTCGAGCGCCTGCTTTGGCTCACTCTGGCCTGGAGATGCCCACACCAAGAAGCTCAAGTTCATCATCCAGCTCTGTTTGATTCATGTGGTGATGCTAGAGTTGTTTGATATAATATCGCCGGACACGGCAAGCGAGCCCTGAGATGAATTGCAAGAATGGAACTCTTTGGATTTTGAGCTTCAGCATGCATGTACGTCATGTTCCTTTTTCATTTGAGCATTTGTGTTGTGGCTTTGTGGCCAGCAATTGTTGGCACTTTTCCAGGAGCGCGCTCTTGCTGATTTGGAGGTAGCTCATCAGTGTTCTGAAATTTGCCCCTGACGGAGAGATGCTGACATGTAGGTCAGGGGGAGCCCTTATCCTCCTCCACTTATGAATCAGTGACTGGCTTACTATAGCCTGTAGCCCTGTTGTTGCGTCAGAAGCTTGTACATTCCTCGTTGCGATGGTTGAAGTTGAAACTTCCACTGCTGTAATGAGACTTGTTCAATTTTCCGGAATGAGACAGCATAGCCGCGCCTGGCTTTGCACGAGGTATGCTTCATATGCCGGGGCTTCAGACGATGTCGACACCAGATGGTTGACTTGTTTAGCTTTGAAACGGCCCTGGCTGCTTGCCGAGGCTATTTCTGCAATACAGATGGCAATTTTTGCATTGATTTTTGCGGGGGATGCCATATGCGGGGCAATGAAGGCAGGAGAGCCTTGGTGAATTGTGTCAACTCACCAACGGGCCTGCCAGGTGCCAAAGCCAAGCTTCCTTTCGTCGTTGCAAGAGTGCAAACCTCAGCGGGTGGCCTGACATGGTTTCATTATGCGAGTGGAAGTCTTCCAGGAACAGGATGATGGCAATTATGTCAATCTGGCTGGTGCAGACCTCAAAGACACCGCATTCAGAGGGCACAGCGAGCCGTTTGTTCCCGAGGTAGGCAACATGCTGTCAGCACAGCTTCTCAACACGGGTGCCTTTGCCTCTTGGCCTTTCTCAAGGCATTTCACCCATTTGCTACTAGTAACAGGAAGCTACTAGGGGCTCCTGGCCGTACTACTGGGAGCAAGGACGCTACTAGGGGCTCCTGGCATCGCTACTAGGAGCAAGAAGCTACTATATAATAGTAACAGAATCCTCTTTAACTCTTGTTGTAGCAGTGGGCGCAGTCACTTCCGTTGGTTGCCGGCTGGTGCCAAGCTGCCAAGCCTATCAAGACACATTTTGCGGTAGCATGACATAGGACGCTCATATACAAGTGCAAAAGGCATGGTAGAAGTGACTGGGGTTCTACACGGAAGGGATGTGGCAGGTGCTGACATGGTTGCCTTGTTGCCGCTGTTCTTCTTGCTTGCTTAGCTTTCGTTGTCATTGTGGTTGCTTTGGTTTGTGGCGGCGGCTGTGGTGGTCGTGGTGGCACTGGTGCTGGTGCTGCTGTTGCTGGTGCTGCTGCTGAGGGTGCCTCAGTGGACGTCTGATCTTGATCCAACCCAAGATTCTGCAAGGAAATCCAACACGGTGATCAACTTATTTGGTTCGGAGCTCGGGCTACTATATATCTTGACTGAAGAGAAGCCATGGACAGTTTGTTTGGGTTTCCATGCTTTCCATGTTTCTATCTTTCAGGTCATCCCTTGAGACCAAGTGGGATGCCAAGAAGGATCTTAAAGGTCCTCTCCAGTGCGATGTTATTTGACCAACAGTGGGGTGACAAGGCGACTGCCCACAATGGTAGACCTCAAGCACCTGCCTCAGAACGAGCGATTGCTGTGCCTGCCGAATGCACAAAATTGTCAATATGTCCTTCAAGTTGTTCCAGGCGTGCTTTCGAAAAGTCAGATGCCCGGAAATACATCGAACTTAAGCAGCTTACTCCGTGTTTTGGCTGAGGACAGGGGTGGAGTTCATCCAGCTGCGAGACACCGATATGTAGCCACCAGTTTCACACACGTGCAGAATTAGCCAAGCTTTGAACCACAGAAATGTAGCAGGAACCAGCTCAAGGCAAGAGTGCTGTTTGAAGAGGTTCACTGAACTTGTCACAACCAAGCAAATACAAATGAATGAGGATCGTTTCACCTGTAGACCCATGTGCCCATGGACTACGCTTCCGCGCGCTGTGGAGCCAAGCAGATCCAGAAGCTGACCAGGTTTCGTGGCAGCATTGGAGCCCAGAGACCACAAGAGTAGCCAAAGTTTTCTCATGTTTACCAGCGAATCACCCTGATTATCCCTGATTGATTCATGCTGGCAGTTGCCAACCGAACAGATAGGCTGACAGCAGCTAATAGTAGCTTTCGACCCCCCACCCACAACATTCAAATGTGTGAAAAGAACCGACGAGAAGTTTGACCAAGGCACGTCTGTATGACATTATGAGGTGAGCAAATGATCTTGAAAGCGGTGAGAGGCTTTACTTTTGCCGCTTTGAAGTGAAAGCATCACTTCAACTGGCATGCTTTGACGTAGCTGTGGATAGTCCTGATGCCCCCGGGAAACTTCCGAGCTGTTCCAGTTTCAATAGACACAGAGAGAGAGAGAGAGCGGCACTTGCTTCTGGAAACGCATCCAGACATTTTGTCGTAGCCGTTTTGGCTCACCGGGCTAGTGATAGTTGGGATTTGGTACTGTATACACATTGGCGCAGTCCTTGCAAAGTTGCCCGGCCTGTTGTCACTGAGAAGCTAGTAGTAACAAGTGCATCGCTAGTAGTAACAGGTGCCTTACTAGTAGTAACGCATCACAGGACGAGTGGTCTCACATGAATCTTTGTGTGACCGATCCGACACCTGCAAGGCTCAGCAGCCATGCAGAAGAGCCAGAGCGAAGGCAGCTTGGCATTCCTCAAGGATTCCAAGGCCATTTGAGATTTATATCTTGTTACAGGAGGGAGCAAGTTTGAAGTGCGGGAAAGTGACTCCAACTGTTTGGAAGGTGGGCTCAGCTGCTGGCTTCATGCTGGTGAGCGGGGGTATTATGGCCCTACCGTGTCTGAACTTAATTGGTGAGCCGTGTCATCCATCAGCGTGTGAGCGTTGGTGTTGCAATCAAGGAACTTGGCTTTTCGTGTGCTGAATCAGGCATGGAAAGAAAAGTAAGGGCCTCGTGGATTTCTCCAAACGCTTCAGTGCCATATCTGAATACCAGGACGGCACATGTGGTTCCTAGACCAATAAGCAGGGCAAGTCCAAAGACAAGTTTTTAGTTTGATCAGGACTGCTTTCGAGAGATTCCACATTGCTATGCGTCAATGGACAGGCACTTGAACCATGCTTTTGTTGATGCTTGCCTGTAACTTCAACATTTGGATGCATCCTCGTGAGGAAACCTCTCACACCATACCATCCCAACGCGTGTCTCGGCGACAGCTTCGTAGCGCGGGATGACTGAGATAGTTTCAGGCTTTTTGGGGTCGCTATTAGGTTCGGTTAGACATCGCTAGTAGGTTGGAGGCCATTGCTATTGGTTATGAATCCTCATGCAAACCATGGCTCCACTCGCCGGCACAGGCCACGCTCGCGCTTGGCGCTGGAAGATGCACCTGTCCCACTTAAGCCACTCAAGTGCAGTGTTGGCGGTTGAGAGATTTCGGTTGCAGTGTCAGTGTTGATTGGAGAACCTGTGGAGTAGCGAGGAATGCCTCAACAATCCAATTCCTGGATAGATTCTGTGTCCACAATCGGCGCTTCGTGGCCTGCTCAGACACCATCACAGCGGAATATGCTTCTTACTTGAGTGCTGAGCACGCACTGACGTTTGCAGGTGTCCACGCACAAGAACTACTACACTGGCGAGAGACCAGATATGAGAAGTAATCCTGGTATGATTGCGGACAGCACGAGGCTGAAGCGAATGCTGATGGAGAAGTGAGCAGGGTCCGAACAAACAGCCCGTTTCCTCAATCGAAGTCGGATGGGAACGAAATAATCGACTCCCGCGTGTTAGCCAGCTTGTTATATAAACAGAGATCCTGAGATCCTTCAATTGTGTGCTTGTTGGCATGTGCACGCCCAGATCTGGATTTCACAAAGTCTCACCGTGTGCCCCACCCAGCATGCGTAGATCTTGTCTCACAATCCAGCTTCAACTGACTAGTGATTAGAGCACAGAAAGAAACGGACTCTTGCTTGACATTTCTCCTTCTGCAGTTGGCAAACAGTAGGCTCAGTAGGCACTGGGCACTTTCCAAGTTCATGATTCATAGCGCATGTTTTTGCAGGGTTCTGCTGCTACAAGCCAATTGCTCTTATGATAAGTGATGCCTTAGAAGACTTGGGATCCCCAATGCCAGCGACACAGCTGCTTGGTGGAAGGAGTTCTAGGAGTGCTACAACCTGCACGTTTGTCGGCACAAGACCTTCCATACCTCCTGCCAAACTTGAGCCAAGGATTCGCTGGTTGGGTCCACTTTCAATGTTCAGCGGCCTAGCTTGTGGCTTCTTGACTTGAGGAGTTTGAAGCAGATTGCACATTTGTGGGTCATCAGTCTTTTTGCAATTCCTTGAAGTTTTTCTCGGTATGATTTGAGGCTATGGTGCGGTGGTGTGCGGATTGGGGCAAGTAGGGATCACTGTGCTGGCAGCAGCTCAGCTGGTCCTGGGAAAAGGCATTTTGCACTGGCTTTGTTGTTCTGCCTTCCTGCGTGCAAAGTTTTCTTAAAGGTCACATTCTTTGCGGCAGCCAACATGATCCCCAATGAGGCTTGGCCTAGCAGGTTATCTATTTCGGTGATTCTCACATTAGCCACTTGCCGGTGCTCAGGCAGATTCTTTGAGCACGCTGTGCTTGATTTGCTTTCTCTTGGGTGGCATCATGGGCTTTGGTGGTGCAGCTCAGAAACTTGGCAGGCAGAAGGATGACTACAGCACACACAGACACACCGCCCGAGCTGCTTCTCAGGATGGGGGATCCTCGATTGTGACTGAGCCCGCAAAAATGGTATCCAAAAGGGAGGCATTGGAGGTCAATCCTTCAATGTAAGTTCGTAAAGCCTTTTCGGGAGATCACGGGAGCCATAAGGAACTAATTTTGCATAATTTGCTAAAGTCCACTTCCAACGTCCATATTGCAACGTGCTGCATGTCAAGGCCACTGTTCTTGGTTGTGGTGGCTCTTTTCCACATCACCGAGTTCACCTTTTGCGTGCTTTTCCACGAGAAGGAGATTGACCCAGCCTCGGAGAGCAATTGAGCTCAGCTCAAGACTCCCGCGGATCCAACTGCTTTGTATCTGGGGACTTTTATGGCATTTGCAACGCATTTTGGCATCCAAGGAGTTCAGAGCATTCCTGCTCACACCAGTACCTGCTGCAGGTTACAGTGTGGCAATAATTGCAGCAATGCTAGAGTTCTGGCTTTGGCATGCCACAGGCTTGACACTTCCAGGTGCGATGTGCGCTGCAAACAATATTTATTGAATATATTGGATCATACTTTGGGACAAGCTCCGCCGAACCTGATATAGGCATACTGCAGTCAACACTATTGCTTTTGGGTGCGAGTTTGGCATTTGGTGGATGGGCATTGCGGACTGTGTCTCGTAAGCATTGGTTTCATTGCCGTTTGGACAGTGCCACGTGGCTCTGTCTTCCACAAGGTGTTGTGCCTTGCTGCTCGTTAGTTGTCCGAGGCAGCGCTATTCACGGCCAGATCCAACTTTACGCACATTGTTGCAAGCTACAAGGAATCTTCCCATAGATTGGTGAAAGAGGGTGTCGCCTGTCCGTGCATCATTTGCAATACTTTTACATGTCTTTTTATCCAATGCTTTTTAGACTCCACAGTTCAAAGGGCCTAGAAAGCCCAAGTAAGGTTTACAGCTTTTGTCGACATCCTGGCTACGTTGGATGGTTCCTTTGGAGTGTATCCACCCAGGTCCTCCTGCGAAATGTGTTTTGCTTTTTTGCATACGCCTGGGTCTCGTGGCGCTTCTTCGCTGGCAGAATTCCGCACGAAGAAGACATGCTCATCCGATTTTTCGGGGATGAGTACGTCGAATATGCCACGCATGTACGTTGCGGAATCCCTTACGTGTCTCGATTGTAGCCTCCAGCATGCCAGAGCCACCAACTGGGCGCAATGACAAACAGCTGTACGCTGTCAATGGTGATCTGCGAAAGCTGCACGAAGATCAAGAATGATCTACTGATCTACTCTACTCGACCTCCTCGCCATGTCTTCGATGCCGAAGAGAACTTGACGGTGTAGCCTTTGATGATCTTGTTCTCGACTGACATGCTGCCCAGGAAAAGCCACCGCGCAGAACCGTGTTATCATGTGTTATCCGTTTAAGCTCTTCTGGCAATTCAGTTGCGCATGCCGCATGCCAGTTACATTTGCGGAACCATGTGGGAGGATTGGCAACGGCAACAGGATGGCTTGTGTATGCGAACCGCTTGTTTTGTCGGGCCATTTCGGCTTGCAAAGTGCTCCCTCACTTATGATGCGCACCAAGAGTGGGTGCGCATTAAATGCCGCCAATCCAAGAGATCTGCGCCCTGTGAAACACAGTTGGGGTAGGCAAGGTCGTGTCAGCATTTCCTTGGGCATGGCAAGGTTGTTTGATTCTGTCCCTTTTGGCTCCTACCAGGTCTACGCGGCCAGGAGGATTGTCCCAGTCGCTGGTTGCAGGTCCGCTGAGTTGGGCAGGAAAGTGGGTAGTGCCTTCAATGCTAGTGCCTGCAACCTCCTAGCGATGGCTTCAATGCTAGTGCACATACTTCAGGATCCTGAAGGATGCGACACTATGTTGGTGGCAAGTGCGGCTCTTACATCAATAGCAAGTGACAGAACTGGTGTGACATTAAAGTATGTGAGCAGGACGACATCACTTGTGTATCTCATGCGAGGTGGGGCTTCTCCCTCATTTTCGGCATATATGGCTCCGTGTTCCCGTATGCTTTCATCATGGCTGTGGTGTCACTTGGCGCACAGCTTTGGCAAGTGATCATGCGTCAAGCTCAAAACATCCTCTGACGACGGACTAAGGAACGCAGCTCTGACATTTGGAGTTGGGAGCCATGGTTGGAGCACACGAGCAACTATTCAAACATTCTAACAAACGGCCAGCAATTTCATTTCTTTGACTGACTTGATCTGATATGTGCCTGAGGTTTCTGTTAGCATGGAGCTCAGTGACGGTTTCAATGCGGACCCGCAGACTACAGAAACCGTTGCGCCCGCATCTCAGTGTTTGGTTCATGGCAAAGTCACCGCGCATCCCGCCAGAGGGGAGATATCAGGATTGAACATTAAACGCCGCCTTCAAGATATCATGCATGCTGGCATGCTGGCATGCTAGTTATGCTAGCAAAACGGGGCAGGAAGGAAGCTATCCCAAAAATCCTAGGAACGTCCAGTAGCTAGTAGCTTAAAAAATAACAACAGCAAACTAGACGACGAGTGGCCCGAAAGCATTTTTCATCACGTAGGAAGTCAGAGTGTGAATTATTTGTTAAGTGTTCAGTGTGAAGTGTTAAGTCGAGTGAGTTGAGGCAGTGTGTGGGTCTCTGTGTGTGTATCTATGTCTGTGTGTGTATGAGTCTCTGTCTGTGTGTGTGTCCGAGTAAGTTGAGGCAGTGCGTGGGTCTCTGCGTGTGTGTCTGTCAACCTCTCAAGAGAGCCGGGTGGTCGGGAGACATGACTCAGCTGCAGGGGCGCCAGAGCAGCCGCGAGAGATGACTCAGCCGCGAGAGATGACTCATCCGCGTGCTAAAGTTGTACTACAAAGTCGCCAGTTCTCAGCTTCCAGCTCCACAGATTGCTCCGCGTACTAAAGTTGTACTAGAAAGTCGCCAGTTCTCATCTTCCAGCTCCCCAGATATACTCCGCGTACTAAAGTTGTACTACAACTTCGCCAGTTCTCATCTTCCAGCTCTCCAGATACTCCGCGTACTAAAGTTCTACTACAAAGTCGCCAGTTCTCAGCTTCCAGCTCCACAGATTGCTTTCGTTACTAAAGTTGTACTAGAAAGTCGCCAGTTCTCATCTTCCAGCTCGCCAGAGACTCCGCGTGCTCAAGTTGCACTACAAAGTCGCCAGTTCTCATCTTCCGGCTCCCCAGACACTCCGCGTACTAAAGTTGTACTACAAAGTCGCCAGTTCTCAGCTTCCACAGATTGCTTTCGTTACTAGAGTTGTACTAGAAAGTCGCCAGTTCTCATCTTCCAGCTCCCCAGAGACTCCGCGTGCTCAAGTTGCACTACAAAGTCGCCAGTTCTCATCTTCCGGCTCCCCAGACACTCCGCGTACTAAAGTTGTACTACAAAGTCGCCAGTTCTCAGCTTCCACAGATTGCTTGCGTTACTAAAGTTGTACTAGAAAGTCGCCAGTTCTCATCTCCCAGCTCCCCACAGACTCCGCGTGCTCAAGTTGCACTACAAAGTCGCCAGTTCTCAGCTTCCAGCTCCACAGATTGCTCCGCGTACTAAAGTTGTACTCCAAAGTCGCCAGTTCTCATCTTCCAGCTCCCCAGATACTCCGCGCACTAAAGTTGTACTACAAAGTCGCCAGCTCTCATCTTCCAGCTCCCCAGATACTCCGCGTACTAAAGTTGTACTACAAAGTCGCCAGTTCTCAGCTTCCAGCTCCACAGATTGCTCCGCGTACTAAAGTTGTACTACAAAGTCGCCAGTTCTCATCTTCCAGCTCCCCAGATACTCCGCGTACTGAAGTAGTACTAGAAAGTCGCCAGTGCCTGCATTTCGCGCACTCGACACGCACGATCTCCGCAGAGGGTTGCGCGCGGACCGGACAAATCGCACTCTCGCCTGCATTTCGCGCGCTCGACACGCACGATCTCCGCAGAGGGTTGGTCCCACCCTCCGCCTTTAAGAGAGAATTTATATAGTGGGGAAATGTTTTTCATTAGGACATCTCCCGTGCAAGTTTTCCATACTCACACTTTCATACTCACAGCGTACTCATTACACTTTTACACTTGCGTACTTTTGCACTTGGATACTTGCCGTTGGATGCTTTCACTCTTCCACTTACACTGGGATACGTATAGAAGTGTAAGTCTTCACGTTCATGTTCAAGTGTAAGTGTGGAAGCATAAGTGTTCAAGTGTAAGTGTAGAAATGTCAGTGTTCAAGTGCAAGTGTGGAAGTGTCAGTGTGTAAGTGTAAGTGTCGAAGTGTCAGTGTTCAAGGGATTTTCCGGAAGAACCCTTCGCAATGCTTTCGGGAAAAAGAGAAAGTAGTTTTGAGATGGGGTCGTGCTTATTGTGACGTCTCTTCAACTCTTCGACGTGAAGTCGCTCAGGACGCTCATGGCAATCTTTAGCGCTGTGATGCCCTTGCCTTGTCACAAAAAATAAACAAACACAAAACACAAAAGCATCTTGTACAGTGTGCCTTTCTGCCTCGGGCTGCCGCTTCCTTCATGATAAGCGCCATGATGTAGAGTTGGCATTGCTGAGGATGTTCATTTTGACATTTCGCAGTGACATTGCCTACGAGAGATGGTGGGAGGGTGGCACCTTACTACAGAAGACCCGTGGAGAGTGGTGCGAATCTTAGCCCCACTATCGGGCTAACCACTGTTTCAAACGAGTCTGAGAATCCTCTTCACAACTAGCCTTGAAACGGGTTAAGAGAATTTCACAACTGCAAACGCCTGAAAGCCTTGTGAATAAGTGGCCGTGACGTGTGGTAGACTGGGGTCTGTTTGTACATGGTACGTGACAAAGGTTCAATGCCTACAGCAGTTTGGTGGCCTTCAGCCCCTTGGCCTCGCATCGTGGGCTTTCTGCTCGCATGTCAAATGTGTATCGATCCGAGGTTCTGCTAGACCAGAGCTGCAAAGACAGGCCAGATACGTTGCTTTTGTTAGCTCGAGGCATGTCGTTGCACATATGGTGACCTTGACTTGATTATACGTATTTGTATGTGTGTATATATAGCTTGGCCACTTCCACAGCACAAAAGGTGATGGAGTTCCATCATCTATTGGCTCGCCTGATGTCTTTGCTGTTCTGCTGTGCGCTTCAGCTTCTTGGACAATTTTCGGTTCATATGGAACTGGCTTCAACCATCTGAACTGCTGGGTGCTCAGAAGCCAGCCTGCGGATCACTTATGGAAGCTAAGGCAAGTTTCTCCTAGCAAAGAACGGCCGTTCGAAATCCTGGACACGCAGGGTATTGAACTAGCGACTTGGCTTGTCCCTCTGTACTTCAACACGCACACACACACACACACATGCGCGCACAGACACATTCATACACTTCTAAGCGTCGTGAGGTTCAGCCGGATTAGTGTGAGATTCAGCTACAAAGGTTTCCAGCATGTCACAAACTCAGGAAAGCCTGCTGTACTAGCCTCAGCTGGGGATTGATCCCAACAGTTTTGCGCTGACCAATCTTGACGTTTCCTGCTGAGGTATTTGGAGAGCACCAGAGACAAGGTGGAGATCATATTGCAATGGATCCAGAGATCCATCGCGAATGCCCAAGCATTGGGATTGACGAGCCCAATGTGGCATGTAGATCAGTTGCGTCAGTTGCGTCCATGGACTGCATGGACACGTGAATGACTGGAGCTCAGGTCCTTCGCATGAATGACGGCGTGCTTCCTGTTGCTCCTCCAGTCTTGTCTCGAGCTTTCCAGGCAGTTGGGGGATATAATATATGTTTGTATCTGTCCATAGTATGTATACACCAGCATATTGTATGTTTGTTTGAAGGTTAGCACTTGCAATGAGCTAACTCCCACACCAAACTGCAAAAGTAGTGGGGCGCAAGTGTCACTGCCTTTACCACATCCGAACGTGTCAGGAATTGTCTCGTGGCATTGTGAATCTGCAGAATGCGAGAAAGATCGCAGACTTCCCCTTCCCCTACCCCTACGCGCAGGCTTGGTCACCATAGCAAGAACAGTACTTTTTTGGCGCAGCCTTTTCTAAATCCGTTGCTTTAGTTTTGTCTCTCGCGAGGTAAGCATTTTGATGCTACTGCTTCATTGGGGCCTCATGTTTGGGCCCAACGTTTCTCACATTCCTCGTGAGTGTATGTGAGTACTGGTGAATCAGTGAAACGCACTCATACCGCGTCATACCCACTTTCTTTCTAAGACTTCAAGGCCATTTTGGTGCAGCATGTTATTGTCCAAAACGATGGCTGCGGCAACCTCCTTCGTAGTGCTTTGGATGCAGCAGGGGCCAGATCTGCAGACTCAGCAAAGAATTCAAGCCCAGGTGATTTTCTTCCTGTGGGAGCCTCGAAGCAAGCTGAAATTCACAGGAACCATGTACTTGGAGAAGTTTCGCACGTCGTTTTCTGTATCTCACTTCTGGAGATTTGAGCTGTCTGTTTCACATGTTTCATCCTACTTGAACTGCTTTGCAGGTGGTGCTTGAACTTCATAGCGCTGCAGCTAGAGGCTCCGTTTGGAGGCCGATGAGACTTTCGCTGGATCTGTCAGTCTCCGCGATTCACCACTGAGTTCGGGTTTGTGTGCGAAATCACAGGCACACACACACACACGAACAGAATTCAATGGTAAAATCAGCATCCAAGTTCCACCTTGTATAGTTTCGTTGCATGCATTGAAGCTTGCCTGCAATAACGTGCCAGATGAGCCGAACGATCTGCCAATGGATCAAATGATCCTGGATTGGAATAACAGCCGGACGCCCTATAGTCCAGTGAATAACGCTGCCGATTTGATGTAGTGACTGCAGTGCAGTTCCCAAATTGCTGCCGCAAAGGCTTATGCACTTTATTGTCTCCAAGATCACAGCGCCCACCAGCGTTTGAATTCGATCCCGCCGTTCATGGCAGGCCAGGCCCCTTTTTTAAAAACAATTCCTCCTTAACGTTTATAGTATTTACTGGAGTTGCACTCAGAAGAGTGCAGGTGGATCACCTCCTTGTCCTCTGACATTCCTACGTTGTTGGGCTTGGAGGACCGTCAGATTCAAGACTTCCATCAAATATTATACACATTACATAAGAGTGCAAGTGAGCAATCATTTGCTTCTGAACGCAGGAGGAGGAAGAGGAGACCAACCTTGCACTACTGCGGATCTAGAGACTGCGTCATTTTGTTTGTTGCCCTGGCCCCGCAATGCTGGGCCAAAGCTTCGCAGGAGTTGGAAGAGGAGGCCTTGATTCTGTCGGTTTTACGCCTTCTCAAGACTTTTGTGTACAGTTTTGTGAGACTTCCTGATTGACAACTTTACATAAAGTCTTTGCAGGACTGTGAGGAGGACTTTTTGCTTCATCTGTCATGCAGCATGCCATCCTCCAACTTGCTTGATTGAACAAGTTCAGTGGGCCGGGGCGGCCTGGTCACTGTGGTCTTTCAATTACTGTAACCCTTTCCAGAATGCTGCTGGAAATGGCAGTGATGTGTTTGAAAGAAATTGCCGCAGGAACTGGCAAATGCCAAAGTAAAGGCTGTGGCGTCAGATCACTGTGTGATTCTGAGGTCCAGAATCCTTCAATACTACTTGCAGTGACGGTTGATCCTGTTATATTTCATTAGTTGAGTAGCAGTGACATAGTGCCTAAGAGCAAGATGCAAGAAGGTTAAGTTAGCACAGACTTGATTTGAGGCTTGAGTTTTCCAGCTACCAAGGCGCAGCACCCAGGAAGATTCAGATTCCTTCAGCCAATCTCCATCCGCAAAGGCGTGGTATGCGAGCGCCGTGTCAAGTTTGATACATGGCTGGATTTTGATGGAAAAATGGCTGAACGTCTGGATGTTGAGGCAAACGGTTCGTCTTCAGGCGCAGGCATGCTATGACACTGGTGTGTGGTTTGTGCGGGGGTGACGGAAGGACCTGTAGCAAGAATAGACAAAACATCTTACAGGTGCACAAAGGCAAAGGTAAAAGGAGCAGCAGGCTACTGGTAACAAGGGCATCGCTACTAGTAACAAGGCGCTACTACTAGTAGCGCTACTAGTAGTTATGCCCTTGTTACTAGTAGCGGTGTCCTTGTCGAAACATCTTAGAGGTGCACAGAGGTGAAAGGAGCAGAAGGCTCACATCTACTGAAAAACGATGGCTCAAAAAATGATCCTGAGCTCCTGTAGTGTACATTTGTGGCTATCAATCAACACCTGGAAGCCTATGGTGCTCCAGTGCACCGGCGTTGCCAGGTTTTTTGCTGACATTTTGACAACTCTCCTTGCACACGCCAGGATGGACGCAAAGACGAAAGGATATCACGACGCGACCGTGCACCATCCTCGAGCCCGCCAAGCGACTCGAGCTTGAATGGAGAGGAGAAGAGAAAAGGATCAAGAAAGCCACAGCTGACGATGATGAAAAGCCTATCGAGTACGAGCATCATCAACTCGCAAGTAAATGACACAACTGTTGACAACGAAGAACGACGTGGTCGCGAATTGCCTGAAGGCGAGGCCCTTTGTAGTTGTCTCTACGCACAGTTTGTGCAAGAGAGCTGACACTATTCACTATTCTTGCAGGCCCACCTGTGACCTTGGAAGCACAGCCTGACCTGGGCTTAGCTTACGCATATATAATTGGTTATGGATTCAGCGCTGTTCAGCATCGTTTCATGTCATTGTTGATTCTGCTCGGCCAAGGAGCGCTCGACAAGGAACAGGCTTTAGCCGGGGTTTTCCAGCTGATCTGGCTCACTCCACATATAGAGTGTATAGAAAGTTGAACACTCAACTGGTTAACCACATTTTATCATTTCCAAATGAAGTTTCACTGTGCAATGTGGAAGGAGTGCCGAACAGGGATCCTCATTAAAAAGGGGTTCTATTGTTGATTGATCAGGATGTTGCTGAACTGTTGTGCATATATATATATAATATAGATCTCCAGAGTGCTCTCAACTTCTTGCCAAAAATTGAGGATTCCTGTTCTTCAATGTTTTCTCATAGGCGTGTTGCTTTGGGAATATTGCAGCTGCGCCAAGTGTGGCTGTTGAGATGCATCTCCATGCGTCAAGTGCATGCAGCCGCTGTGGTTGCACCTCCGTAACAGAAAGATTTGGACTGCATGTCCAAGACATGTTGTGCCTTAACTGTGTCTCGAAAAGGGGTCCACTTTGCAGTTTGCAGATTTGTGCCTGTGCCCACCACTGCAGAATGTACCCGCACAGACACTCTTACGTGCTGAATGCCGCAGAAGTGAATTGGGTTTGATACGTTAATCACTCTCAAACTTCCGCAGGAGATAAACAAACCAAAACGATCCAAAACGCAAGAAGCTCATCAGCAGACAACTTTTGAAGCGAGAACTGCATGTTTTGGCTTGCTGCTAAACAAACAGATTTGTCAAGGCTTCTCAAGCACAGCTTCAACAGTCCTTTCC